AATCGTCACGCAGGGAAAAGCACAATACATGACATCATTAAACCGGCTAGATCAGGCGTGATCACAGTTTTGCAATTTCAGTTTTTTTAATCACCTTCGTAGTTAATGCGCAAACTTGGAGTAGATCATTCGGAATGAAGCTTTATAGGCCTAGTTAAAAAGTTGGTAGGAATATTTTAGCCAAAACCCATCAACTTCAGTGGTATAACCGCGTAATATTAGTAAACAGCCAGCAGGCAGCTAATATTCTACTACTGCGTGACACAACTGCGAGGGTTTCGGTCATGTCAGTGGTCATTTTAGGCCCACCTGAGGAGTTCTCATTCGCTGAAACCATATTACAGCACTTCAATCAGTGTTTCATGACATAGGCCATCTACTTTACAAGACATGGCATTGGAACCAGTTTAGTTTTCAATTTTCTTGTCAGTGACCGATTGAACAGCTCTTTTATGTTATTTTCCTCATACACAGTGAGTAATGTCATTAATGATGTGTGCGTAAATAAACGAAAAATGTCCGACCGGTCGGGAACCAGCCCAAATTCATCGACCAAAACCCCCTATTAATAACAAACCAACTTCTATTAAATGAAAATACAAAAGAAGTATTGTGAGTAATATTACGTTGGATGGAAATATCAATTTTCTTAAGAAAGCCGTCAAAGCTGAAAACACGATGATCCCTGTCAATATAGTAGTCAAGCAAGCCTGACCGTCCAAATAACTAAATAAAATAGAACAGCATGTGCATAATAACGTGCAAAAATTGCTCCTTCATGCAGTTCACACATTTCTATCCTTCAATAACTAGTGTAGCATGGAGTATGGGAATTAGTCAGCTGCTTAATATTTGATTGTGTATTCTAAAACAACTCCGCAGTAATTGAAGACAATTTTTCCAAGTTTGCATCCCCAAAAATGGGGTTGCCTAAAGCAGTGAGGATTTCGCAAATAAGGATGGCGCAGGCCACATGTTGAGAGGCAGGCTAGTGACTAAGAATTCGAAATGGAATAAACAGATGCAATCACAAGCATGCCGTTTCGGTGTAACTTAACAAAAATCCTTGCGTGAAATTGCTGTGTTGTTTTTGGCGACAGTAAACTCAGCTGACTTTCAGGGTGACCTTGGAATGTGAGTGAATAGGTAGCGCATGAAGCGCGTGTACGCCTTCCGTCTCTGGCTCCAGCGCCCACGCCCATGCGCCTTTTGTGTATAACGTTCTGTCGTGCTAATTCTCCTCATGCCTTCCATCTCCAGTGAGAGTGAAGCCCTGGGGCGTCTTCTGGATGTGTATGTGAGCCAGTGTCACTATTACTGGCAGGAACCTGATGTCCTCGCCTGGCTGGAGTCCAATGTTGAGGCGGTTCTGCGGCTGGTGGAACCTGTAATTATCCCCGGTTCTTCTACTTCAACCTGCCCAAATACAGAACCCGATCCCCGACTGCGCAAGTATTCAGAGAAGTTAGTTTACACCAGTACTGCGCCACTATTTTTTTTCTTGACTACTTCGATTGCAGGTTTTAACATGACGCATGACATTAACTTTCTAAACATCATGGATGATATCGACACGGAATCATGTGTTAGTGGTAGCTATTGTTTCAAGAAACCTCCGTTGATAGTCCATCTCCAGATGTCGGCAGTACGTCACGAATATGTCAAGGTTTTCTTTTACCTATTTTTTCTTTTATCAAAACATAGTCTTAAGGAACTATGCAAAGCACTTCTAAAACAAAATCACGACAGCAGAACTTCAGATTGGTGGCGACTCTTTAAGAATTAAGCTTGGTCTCTCACTATATAAGTACCACTAATTGACAAAACAAGAGGATGTTTGAACGCGTCGGACAGCTCAGTTTTGAGAGTGCCAGACTGTCCTTTATCGGCAAATCATATTCGATGAGGTGCATACAGAATGCGTTCTTTTATTATTCCCTTTTCAGACGGAAGTCTTGCTACGTTCAGGCGCCGCGAAACATTCTTCGGCACATCTTCCTTCGCGAGCTGCCCGACGCCCCCTTATTACTTCCACCTGTGCGTCTAGTTTTTCAATAAATCAAACATTATTGCTGACGTATTCTAAATTGACCTTTTTCGAAGTTGTTTTGCATCAGTAATTCCTGGTAGGTACAATCTGTCCCGCCTGTTTTCTATCTATGATCTCAAAAATTGTGCGTAGATTGATGCACCAACCGCACCAACCGGAGGACAGTTAGGCCTGGGAAAAAATATCCCAAGTTGTCAGCATCATCATCACAGCGGCAGAAGTCGGTGTTCTTGGTTCCACTATTTTTAATTCAAGCAATCGCGAGGTAACCCTCGGGAGGCTACATACACATGGACGCACACGCACTAGCGTTTCTGTAGTAGAGAATCGAAACACCTGTCGTTGTACCTCATTTGGACAGATATCCCTATGTTCTAATTTCTCGCTCGTGGGAAATTTTGGCGAGGTACTTACTCCCCTTTTTTCCACCGTTCCAGAACCATGGTTCACAGAGAATTTATCCGTTGGATCCTTTCCCACCGCTGGACTCAATAAATTCCTACGACCCCGAAGCCGAAAGGTTTTTGCCGTCCTTTTTTCTCATGCAAAAGCGTTTTTTGCACATAGCTGTTTTTTGACTATCAATTCCATGCTGTACAACGCTGCGATCACCTAGGCCGCTGCATGGCGGAAGAGTAGACTAGGCCTTTTGATTTAACCACCTGCCAAAATAGATTTGATTGACTTTGCGACTGAGGAACTGAGTCGTCTTTCGTCGGAGATATCATCAGAAATAGCTTCTCACCACCCATCGGCAAAACTTCTTATTATGCAGCTCACCGTATGACGTGTCAGTGGACAACTGTGCGCTTTGCCATTATGTAAGCCTCTGCCACACCCTCAGCAGCTGACGGCGCTTGCTTGCCCGATACACCTCTTTCCGCATGAGGAACTTCGGCCTGCCGGCGTTCTCACGGGAGCTAGGGACCAGAGTTGCCCGCGAGTAGCTGAAGTCTGCGAATACTTGAGACCCATCTAAAAACGCTTATGACTGTCTCTTTTAGTGTTCAAACTCCAAATGTACCTTAAACTACCATCGTAAAACACCTTAATATTAGCGTATTTACGTTAATATTACTATTTAAAAATTAGTAAATCATTTTTATAATAAAATGTACTCGGTCACGAAAGTAGAAAATAGTTAGCGAATATCTTAGATATGGTACACGAAAGAGTATAATTCCAGCTGCCAAGTATAATTTGATCGGAAATCATCTATCTTTTTGGACTTTTGAAGGCACTAATCATTATACAAGTACCTTGCCGACTCGGTTTAGTATCTAAATCGTCTGCGGAGGGCAGCAACAGCGCGGCTATCTCCAGGACTTAGCGCGAGTAGTGGCCGTGTGATCAGGAGAGGAACTAGTTACTGTCATGGGGCTTGACTTATTTTAATTAGTTCCTGGCTTCGCGCGCGCGTATTTGTGGTTTTCCGATTATCAGTCAGTCCTTGCGCACCCTATCACTGATAGCCTGTGGAGTGGGCGCTGTGGTGACCTGCACGTGAGTTTGTCTATGAGACAGGCTTGCCCAGCCCTGATAGTAAGACAAATCAGGGTGGGCAGAAGTGCGCGCATGCGCAGTGGCCCGTTTACGTTTGTTGTACACACGACCTGGTTCCCACTCCAGACGCAGCAGGGTACAACAAGGGCGAATCGGACCTCGCCTTGGTGGGAGTGCCTTGAAGGCGATAGTATAGAGGCGCTGTTTTGGCCTGACCCTCGGTCCTGATAATCTCTGAGTTATCTCGTCATTTGGTAGCCTTCTAAACCACGTCTAGTAGGGCGTCATGATAGAATCAAGCGCGTCAGACTTATTGTAGCGAAAAATGCACTGATTTTCCGTGATATTTACAGTTTCTACACACTACCGATAGTTCATCTAGTGAAACTCATCTTAAGTCGTGATTATACCGACTGGGACTATTTTCGACCAAAACACGTGATGTCAAAAAGTAGTGAATTTGCCTTTGCAGACGTCTTGGATTAACAAGCAAGTAAATTCTATAGCGACACTCTAGATTGCCTTTCCGGTTTTTGCTTATCGTTTTGAAGGGCCGTTTTGCTTGCTATAGATCAAGTTTAAGTTTCATGCCAAACAGTACGCTCTCTTCCTTGCCGCCACTACATTGTTTAGTGATTTATTATGCCCGAAAATTGCGCTTGTCTGATTTGTCCGTTGTTTAAGTTCTCTCTTATAGCTGCAGCCACGCGATCATACACGCTTAGTAGATCTGCTTAAGTAAACTACCGCTCCGTTATTTTCAATTTAAACAGACAGCGCCAACATACAGGCTCCGGTGGGTTTCTTCGTGCGCTTCTCACTTCCCTCTTGCCGTCAACGGGGACGTCGGGTGACAGTGACGCTCTTGCTGATATCAACAACCTCTTCGCTGAGCTGGGACTTCATGTGGAGGAGATTCAAGTGATCGGCCAACAGCCGACCGAGATTGCTGATCCTGACGGTACTGGGCTCCCGACCAACCCTCAGTTTGACGGAGAATTCGATTAATGGTCGTGGCCACAACTCTGTCGACGTGCGGCTGTACTATAGTGATGGCAGTGGACATTATCTAGCTGTCTCCCCCGTATTCTGCAGTTATATTTTTCTCCAATTATATTGCGAGCACTGTCTTTCACGCCAATTCTTTGTTGGTTAATGTAAATCTCGGTGTGTTGTCCGGCCACGACCGCCACTGTTTTGGAGAGGTAGGGGCGGTGACTTGCGCCTGACCTTGTTTATGGTAACGCAGACTTGCAGTGCATCTGTCGCATTCCCATCATACTCGCCATATTCCAGTTAGCAAGACAAACTCCTGATTGGAACTGCGTGCAGGAACAGTTTTTGCCACGGCAAAGTAGTCCATTTTTGCTCGCGGCTGCGCGCGAACCAACCTTCTGAGCCTGGGAAGCTTTGCGCCCGATGCGCTCGAGAGTGCCATTAAGGTCATATGGAGATAAAGCCATTGCAGCTTGATCCCGGTCGTGTGGACGACCAGCATGACAGGTTTCCAAATGCCGTTTTTAGCGCATCACCGAACTTTGAAGGTGCGAAGGACTTGACGGTACTTTACCGATGAGGGCTTGGACCTCATGATCGGTCTGCTCTCCCACTCACGTGTCTGTGACCTGCCTGAGTCGAGCCGACTAGGGATAGGCTTGGGCGCAGTGGGCGATCTGGCATAAATCCACCATCTAGTTCGTGCCACATACAGGGGTCACCCACACAATGGCCACTCTAGGGAATCGTTGCAGCCTACACCTCCGAAGGGGATTGAGTTAGTCCGTCCGCCAACAACCGTCCGAAGCACGACCTAGCGCGCCGTGGCGACGTCAGACGCGTCATAGCTAATGCTGCAGTAACTGTCATTTGGACGAACCACCTGGTGCCAGTCGATCCATTTCTCACAGCATATTTCCCTGACTGATGGTGGAACTGCGCACATTAGTTAGTGCCGCGAGCTTCCACCTAACGTTTGGTGTGGTCGCGTATGCCAGTAGGTAAGATCCCGGCGCGATGTAACTAGAGCATGCCGACACTCAATGCAGTTCCCATTCTGGTACAGCGTATCAGCTGCGGATCCTTTTTGGTGGAAGGATCCTTTATAAATCCCAGGACTGCTATCGGGAATCATGCCGCATGAAGATCTATCCGTCAATCAGTTTATGGGCACAAGGGGTAGTTCTAGCTTTCTCAAACCGGTGGTCACTTTTGGAAGTTGCAGATCGATTCCGAAACGACATTAGTAGAGTTGTGAGGTATAACGACACAAAGCATTTATTAACCAAACCTGGACAAATAGTAGTAGCGTAAATGACCTGCCACTGCACCGAGTTTCTCAATCTTTTTTCAGCTGTTGCTGGTCTGTCAGATAACTTAAGTGGCCGGAGAGACCACTTTTTCGGTCTTCAAAATTGTTGCCTGGCCTCGGTTTGTTTCCCATGTTTCGATTCCTAGACGATTTCGACGACGCTTAATCATTTTCAGCAAAGGAGCACAGAAATGCAGGTGACCATTTCTAACTATATATCTTTTTTCCAGTTTAGTTTATTTAGGGGGAATGTAGGTATGCATGTCTGAACTGCGTATTTGTTGCAGTCAGTGGAGATATAACAAAAGACACGTACACTAACGATGTCACAACTTTACGGAGAGAAGAAGGATCCCGAGCTATTATTAGTACCGACACGTATGTTCACACTGGCCCATGCGTTGTGCGACAGTCTGTTCATGCTCAGATATAATTTTGAGGAAGTCCTGTGATGTCAGCTGTGTGAAGCGCCAGTGTGAATGTCAGCGATTGTGGACGATGGGTCACGGACGGTGCTTCATTATTAGCACAAGACTTAAGGTGACGTCGGTCAGATTGCCAGTTCATACTGTTCATGGACTGAATGCAACGGCGAAAAACCATCGCTACTGCATGCAGTCACTGGTAACGTTCAAGTCGCGACCCCAACTAGTCCATGAAGTTAGGACTGCCGTCTGTGCATCGGGCCTCCTGTCGTTGTTAGTTGCTGTGATGGTCAAGGATAACCTTCACTTTCAGTTGGCCGTTGGAAGAGCTTACAGTTTACATCGATGAAGAACCGCCTAGCTATGGTGGAACTTACTATACAAGTGGATATGAATGTGCATTTGTCAAAAAATAGGGCGGGTTCGTGTGATAGGCCGCCGTTCCTTCCCTCTACTTATGACAATTTATCTTCCTCATGCACCGTTCGACCTATTCTATTCTCCGTTCATTTGAGTTACCAGTACGAATCTGTCATAAAACTAGGCCACCAGCTTTTTGGGGGAAATGAAGACTCGCGTTGGTTATGTGGAAGCGCGATGGTCCGCGTTGAAGTGTTTTTCAAATCAGGGACCACGGAGACATAGTCGGCAGGCCAGTTGTTCAAATTCCTCGCAAGTAATTCTAGTAAAGTTGACTAAGAAATTACGCATTATGACGACTTCCTCTGTTTTGGAACTCAATTATTACTGCCACCTGGCATAATTCATTTTCCCTGTCCTAAGCTTCTTGGGTGCCGAAAAAATCCGTTTACAAATATGACTTGCGTTGCAACAAACTAATAGAAAAAATTTGCTTGGTTAAACGCAGTGTTAGCTAACTGGCCCTTTGCCCTCATCCTCGCCTGCTATGGTCTCCAAACTTTGGAATAATCGTTGCAGTGGCTAAACAGCATAGTCTCATATTAATGAAGGCGTAGTCTTGATGAACAAGAAGTTACGTTGGCTACCCTCAGTGTGAGCATTTATCATAACTCTGAATGGATTGGCAGCGCGCATTGACTGGTCCGACTCTCGCCGAAATGTTATCCACTTAAACAGTGTTGAGCCCCGTTTAAAACACCTTCGATTATTAAAGAAAACTTGACTAAAACACAAAGGCACCGATAGGGTGTAAGACCCCTAAGTGGATGACAACTCCAAAAATGTATCCAAAAATTCATTGTGACTGTATACCTCACTTATTATTCACCGTTCCCATTGCTTGAAATTTCCTTCCCTTCCTGACTAAAATTAAACTTATCAACGGCGCTTTATTCAAATTCCGTTATTTTTTGAAAATTGCTTTGTGTTTGATTTCTTCTTATGGCGTCCACTGTCTTTGCCAGATGAGAGCATATGATAAGACTTTCGGTAGAATTTTATCTTTCTTCTGTGTCTTCTTGCTCTTTGTCCTTTGTGTTGCCCCACCTTCGAAACGCCCCCCTCCCTGCCGCCATTCAACGTTGGACACGGTCTACAGGCTGTCCCAAGTTAGTTGGGGATCCTACATCCCATCCTTGCCAACATAAACATAATTCAGGAACCACATTCCGCGGCTGTTATTTTGTGAGGTATACGCTCAGTTTGCGTCTGATGCACGAGACAATACCTAAAATCCAATCTACGGCCGCCAGTAGTCAACGATGTCAGAAGACGAACAACATACGTGCAACCATGGCGGAACTAGGTAGATAGATAGATAATTTTTATTAAAGACCGGTCGGGGTCCCATCAAAGCAAGGTAAAATAAATTTACAAGCGAGATTTTGACAAGGTAGGCCGAATCTTTACCAAATGCAATTCATAGTTTCTGAATTAGTAGTCCATTGAGAAACATGATGATTAAGGAGTGAAAAAAACTCGTTACAAAAAGTTAAGAATGATTGAATTAATTTTACAGGAGAAAAAAACCCTCAATAACAATAATGACAGAAAAAAAGCGAGCTGGACTAGCCTTTAGGTGGCGGTATACAACGGAATGTTGTCGGTCATCGTCAGGGTAGCAATAAATCTCAGCCTTGAGGGGTACGTATGCGGGTCATACAGGGCTGGCTTGCATGTGGCATTGTATACGGGATTCAAAACTGACATCGTCTGGGCCGGATTGATACGCCGCATGAGTCTGTTCGCGTCAGAGAGGCCAGACGAGAGGAACCCAGATGCGATCGGCCACAGCACGCTTCGAGCTCAGCCGAGCAGTGGGGAAGGGAGGTACAATCAAACTACTAGTCGACGGCGAATACTGAGGGTTCCGCCCTGAGCGTCGACAGACCGTATGAGGTCGGAATGCGGGAGATGACATCAAAAACCGCGAAAATTGTCGCTATGGGGGAGGAGGTACAAACAAGTAATGCTTAATCATCCTTCCTGAAAGGCGTTTCAATCAGCGAAGTCAATTTGAAATTCTGAAAGGTAAGGATACTCGTGCGATTATAGTGTATGTTAGTGAGGAGTGAATCAGATAGAATTATACATTAAAACCTTATCAAATTATGCGTCTTCGAATGTTAGAATAAAGGTCTATCTTTCCGAGAACTTTAGTGCCTAGCTTATCAGCGTAAAAGTAGACTATCAGAACCCTGGTATGACTTTTTCCAACGTAACATCCTCTTTTGATGGACATGATAGCACAAAATTATAGCTCAGAACGGTGTATCTCGTGGATATTATGAATATCCTGAAGATTTAGACTAAAAACCAGCAATACGGCTGGCAAGCGTCTGTTGCAAATGAAGATGTACCATATCCGCGAAAGTTCACATCCTTCACTACAATTCTGTAAGTTGTCCTTTCAACTATTTTGACAAAAGACGTTCGATAGAGGCAACTAAATTCAGAACAAGGCAGAAGTCAATTGGTTGTCGTCATAACTAAAGCGGCTCACAAGGTATTGCGTTGACTTTTGACGATAAGCCTTCCAACTTGGTTTTGGAGCGGTGACCAGAGGGGTGATCATAATTTGTTTCATCAGCATTTAAATGCATACCCACACAGGAGTGTCTTGTGCATATTCTAATACTGTTGGGCGCATGCAACCGTAATGCACCCTTCAACTGAGAAGTCGGTTGGACAGCTCACTCGGTAAAAAGGCCACTGAAACTTCCCAATCACTGTAGCAGAGACTTTCAGTGGTTGTAGTGACACGAATTAGCCCATTCATACAGAAATCATGCCGGGTTAATTGCCAACCACTATTCTACCAAGTTTACCGAAATCCGCCCGATACTAGAGCTTCCCAGTCTGACTTCGGTGGGCTAAATTCTACCTCGATGGAGTACCAGAGACGGCGCGCAGTTAATTTTCTCCAGTGTCAGTGATCCTAACACCTAGATAAAGCTTTTGCTGTTGGATTAGTGGTAAATGCGCATTTGAAATTTTTTTATGTAGACTGAAACACATAATTTAACCTATGCTGTCCGTCTGAGGGCCATCGATATTCTGGTAGAAAGACAGGTCCAACTCCGAAAAATCTAACTGATTTGCGGAGTTTGTCATCCATTACAGAAGTGGCATATCCAATACTGGTGACTACCGATAAGGGCAATACTGTGCTGCACCATCTCATCAAAGTGATTATACCTACCGGATTTAATCCATTCTTTTCACAACCAATCATCTTTTTATCCGCAAATGCTGTGGAAAGTGCAAAGAAGTACAGGTAGGCGGCAAAGCTGCAATTACTCAGCCAATCAGTTGCAGAGAAACCGGACCACCTACATTACAGCCCCGGATCCAATGGGCTCCGGCGACCTTGTAACACACCCTGCTTACGGATGTAGCGACAGTCTGGGAATTGAACCGCTGCATTTTTCTAACCCTCAAACCCATCATGTCAGTCTAACAGGCTTATGTTGCATATAAAATGCAGTACCGGAGACACGGAAGCAACACATCAACCCCAATACTTTCCTGTCAGCACATATGCTGTCATTCTTGCCTCTTCATCTGCATTTTACACCGCGGACCAAGTTATAGGTGGAACAGTAAAGGTAATTATTTATATTAAGTTAACATCACTTTATAAATATCGGGGTTGGTAACAAAGGATCCATGTATGCGTACCGACACGACAGGCAATCTGCCACGTCTGACGACTGTCAAGAACTAAACTTTACAACCAAGTTGCAATAAACCTTAAACTCCATTTCCCCCAGATGGCAGGAAAATACACATTCTGTATAAGTGAGTGCGGGTCTGGACTATCAGGCAAACAAAACATCCATCTCATTACGAGCACTTTTGACGAAAGCGAAACGAGGTATGGTGGGCTATCCGCAGGTAGCGGAAGGAGTATGAAATGCTACTTATGGAACGGGCCGTCGATAAGCCAAAAGTGCTCTTCAGTTACATCAACAGTAGGTTAAAGAACAAGGATGCAGTCTAAGTGTTGAAAGGAGAAAACAGTGAGGATATCATCGAAAATGAAACAGATAAGATATCCGGCGGAGTGTTCGTGGCCGACTGCAAATCCCAGAAAGTGGATTCCGGTCATAACAGATGCCTTTGCTCTGTGCCTAAATTCAAACTAAACATCGAAACGGAGGTACAACCTTAGAACACTCCAATGAATGAAGGTAAAATCCCATGTTCAATGTTTGTTAACGGCTTGGGTGGCTGCAGATGGAAATAAAATATAAGGTAATAATTGAGACTGGAAAAAGCCGGTGACTGGTTTGTGACTTGATATTATTAGCGCCGAAGTAAATGTCAACTGCGCTATTATTGTAAGGCGTCGTATATTCTGGCTTAGACAAACGACGTCTCAGATGCAAACACTTGCCATCTCACCCGACGAGGCCGCAATTTGTGCAACTGTACATACCCCAGCGCCTATTCCCCCACACAAATTCGGATATACACGCACACAACGCGTAGACACGTCTTAACTCAGATGTCTTACAATATTTCGCAGATATTTTTGACAAGAATGACTATTTTTTAGCACCATCCCGGTTTTAAGTAATTAATAATTAGCATTTCTCAGGAAGCAGCATCCCCGCACGCAGAATGTCTTGTGGTGAGGGGTCAAAATAATTTACCTTTGACAATATAGTCCTGATTTTTTCGCCCGTATGGCTTGTTTGAATGTGACGAAGAACAACACACCTGTACAACCCGCCTTGCTAGCGTGCTCCGCTGTCGTGATCTGTTGTCAGGCTACTTAACATTCAAAATCTCTATATTATTCATTGCTCAGTTTTTACTTGCTGCCCTTTAAAGCTAAGGGCTCGTGAGATATAAGTCGTTAGTTCGTGAGAACTTTACCTTCCTCGTCATTGGTGACTCACGACCTTAACGCAGACTTTATATTTTTCTGTCATACTGAATAGCATAAGACGAACTACTTTTTTGTAAATTTCTATTCCATTTACGTCTACTTTTCTCACGAATTCTGATATTTTACCATCTCTGTCTTAATTATTATGTCTCACTCCAATCAACAACTTGATTCCCCCGCTCAGTCCCTTCATGTCATTAATTTTACCTTGCCCGATTTCTGTCAACACGCTGCAGAACTTTACTTCATCCGCATAGAATCAGCCTTTTATTCTGCTAACGTTACCAAGGAGTTGGCGAAATACCACAAACTTGTGGATGTCCTCCCCACTAGTGTCATCTCTCAAGTTCAATCCTTGCTATCAAATCCTCCTGCAGATGCTTCCTACTCCACGTTAAAGGCAGAAATTTTTTGACTTAATTCTGTATCCGACCGACAGCGGTATCACCAGTTACTTAAGGAGGAGTCACTGGGTGACCGGAAGCCCTCAGAACTTCTACGTTGAATGCGTTCTCTCCTTGGCGACATGCAGGTTGACGATAAATTCGTCTAGGAGATGTTTCTAGAGCGTCTGCCTACAGATGTTAAAACCATCCTGCCGTCTGTTTTTCAAGATTCACGGTCTCACAACTGGCTGGAATGGCGGATCGAATGATAGAGGTGCAGCGGTTCCAGTCACCTTCCGTCGCCCAGATCTTCTTATCCTCACCGTCTGTTAGTGAACATGTAAAGAAACAGGTGTCGGCTATGGCGGATGAGATGGCCTCTCTTAAAGTACAGCTCGCTCGCCTAACTCCCAGTCGCCTATGTCGTCGTCGTCGTTCTCGTTCGCGACCTCGGTGTGCGGATACTTGTTGGTAGCACACTAATTTTGGCGTAGAGATCCGTCGCTGTTCCTCACACTACTCTTTTAAGCCGAAGCGGGGAGACTAATCAGCCAGAGAATATATGCGACCGTTTTATCTGGCGCTTCCGTGTCTGGTCGCTCCTTCTAGGTTTGCGACACTGCGACTCGCAGACGTTTTCTGGTGGACACTGGAGCCCAAATCAGCGTTGTTCCCCCAACTGCAGCTGATCGTCGCTTCCCTAGCCCTGGTTATCACCTTCAAGTTGCCAACTGTTCCCCCATCCCCGCTTTTGGCAGTCTGTTCCTCACCCTAAACATGGGCCTTCGTCGGTCAATTACCTGTATCTTTGTGATTGCTGATGTCCATCATGCAATCCTCGGTTCGGATTTTCTTGCCGAGTTCGATCTCCTTATTGACTGCCGACGTGCCCGTCTCCTCGACCGCACAACCGGTCTGTTTGGTCGTGGGCTATTTCCCCTTACTGCCCCACCAACTTATCTATCTTGGATACGGATATTGGTAGCCCCTTTTGGGAACTGCTTCTTAGTCACCCCAACAAAATCAACCCCCAGTTTCACATTGGTGAGGTCCAACATGATGTTGTGCACTATATCCTCACCTCAGGTCCTCCCGTGACTGTTCGGCCGAGACGACTATCACCGGAGCGTTTTCAGGCTGCGAAGACTAAGTTTGAACACATGCTGCAACTGGGAATAATTCGATCGTCCGCGAGCCCTTGGGCATCCCCACTGCACATGGTGCCCAAGGCGACATCAGGCGACTGGCGACCCAATAGCGACTGTGGAGCCCTCAACGGCTATACCATTCCTGATCGATACCCTGTGCCTCATGTTCAGGACTTTGCTGGAGCTCTTTTCGGCAAAGCGATTTTTTCGAACATTGATCTGGTGCGTGCTTTTCATTAGATTCCAGTCGTCCCTGAGCACATCCCTTAAACCACCGTCACCACAACCTTCGGCCTCTTCGAGTTCATCCGCATGCCGTTCGGTCTTCGTAATACCGCACAAACTTTCCATAGGTTCATCGAATATGTCTTACGTGGCCTACCCTTTGTATACGCCTACATTGATGACCTCTTGGTGGCCAGCCAGAATGAAGAAGAACACAAAGAGCATCTTGCCTTGGTGCTTGACCGCCTTGACAAGTTTGGCGTTGTCATCGACCCCTCCAAGTGCTTGTTGGGTGTGTCCTCACCCGAGTTCCTCGGCCATCAGGTCAACTCTGAAGGTTTGCTTCCCCTCCCCTCCAAGGTTGAAGCAGTTCGTAATTTCGCTCCATCAACTTCCCAGCGACAGTTGTAGCGATTCCTCGGCATGGTCAATTTTTACCGCCGGTTCCTACCGAACTGTGCTAACCTCATGTTGCCGCTCACCAAAATGCTTTCTGGTCCCAAAGGTCCCCTCGAGCTGAGTGGTGAAGCACTGAATGCTTTTGAGAGAATCAAGAATTCCCTTGCCGATGTTACGTTACTCACGCATCCCGCTCCCGAAACTCAGCTGTCTCTGATGGTAGATGCATCGACCGCAGCCGTAGGTGCAGTCCTTCAAAAACACCCTTCTGGTTCGACTCGACCACTCGCGTTTTTCTCCAAAAATCTCTTACTAGCTGAGACATGCTACAGAACCTTTGGCCGTGAACTACTTGCCATTTACCTGGCTGTGAAGCATTCCCGGCATCTCCTTGAATGTCATGACTTCACTGTTTTCACTGACCACAAATCGTTGACTTTTACACTTCGTTCCCAATCCGATAAATACAATCATAGGGAAATCGCCCACTTGGACTACATCTCCCAATTCACCACCGACATCCGCCACATTGATGGCACGAAGAAAGAGCTTGCTGATGTGCCGTCCAGACAGTCACTGTCTTCCCTCCAACTCTCACACGGGATCGATATTTGTGCCATGGCGGCTGAACAACAGCGAGTCGGTTGTTCCGGCGACGAGTCTGTTAGTGGTGTCCTACTCAAAGACATTCCTCTGACCACTGGCCCTGGTACCATACTTTGTGACGTCTCAACTCCCTTTCATCGCCCTTTCGTGCCCGCCTTAATGCGTCGAGCTGTATTTCAAACTATGCATGGACTCTCCCACCCTGGGATCCGAGCCTCTCAAAAGCTCCTCGCGGAAAGGTTTGTCTGGCCTGGCGTGAATAAGGACTTTAAAGCTTGGATCCGGTCTTGTCTGAGTCGCGAGCGCAACAAGGTGCAATGACAAAATAAGTCCCACCAATCACTTTCCCCGGTTCCGCCGCACAGTTCAGCCATGTGCACCTGGATGCCGTAGGCCCCTTGCCTCCATCCAGCTATATCCAGCAAATAATTCATACATGAATTGCCCTAAGTCATATATGCCCCAACCTATTTCAGGCTTCCCACCACTAAAGGCGAATTGCTCTCAGGTACGTCAACATATCACCTTTGACTTCCAATCTAGACATGGTTCCCCACCATTTCATTCTTTTAGTGGCCTGCCCTCACCCAATAGCCCCTACTTTCCTTCTAGCCTCCATCCTCCTCCCCTTCCTCCATTATTTAACTACCAACAAGTCTATCCATGTTCTAACTCCCCTAGCATTCCAATGTTTGAAAAGTATATCCCCACCTCCTTTAGGTCTCATACTCAGCCTTCTCTTGCTGACTCCTCGTACGTCAATAACTCTAAATTAACTGGTACTTATTCTCCAAGTGTCATTAATTCACAGCTTACATATCCGCCTCCAAATTTTTTAAAATACCGTCGAAAATAACATTGCCGTTCGAAACACATTAGATATTATATTATTGAATGCCAGGTCTGTTATAAACAAGATGGCCCAAATCAGAGCCATTGCTCTGGAAATGACGCCGGATATTATATGTGTTACAGATTCTTGGACCCATTCTCTAATTCCTGACTCTGCCCTTCTCATAGATGTCTTCGATTTTTACCGCCAAGACCGCACGACTAGGCGTGGGGGTGGTTGTCTTCTTTATCTTAAATCCTACCTAAAGCACTCTCCCTATTACTTGGAT